TCAGTAATCATATCATAAGGAAACGATGTTTTGTAAGGGAACAAACGAATTTAAATTCACGACACTCATTCATCTATTGCTATATAATTGCTCATTTGGTTCGTGAAAGCTCAGGAAAAGAATATCGGTTTTATGTTTCGTTTTCAAGTCTGCGAATTAAGCTCTAATTAATTAACTAATTAAGCAAGCTTCTGATAGTGATAGTTCTTGTTGCTCCAATTATTCGCCATGGATTAAACTTATTTTTGGTTGATTAACAAACAGGTTTTATCTGTACTAAGCCTTCAATATACACTGTCTAGATTATAGGTCTGAAAATAAATCAGATCTGCTCACCATTTATTTTTATATAATATCCGTATTCTGAACGTTGTTGAGAAGTGGCATATCTTTGATAGAGGCATGATCACTTGATGTGTACAGCTTGTCTCTTTATTACAGTTGAAATGGATGACAAGGATTACGTTGTATGTTGAACTTTACGAGGCTTTCTTGAAAGCACATAACGTGTATTTAGCCTTAAATGCAGTCACTCGACAGTAAATTTTCCAGACTTTGCGGGAGGATGGGGGGGGGGGGGGGGGGGGACACAAAAATATTGTTTTTTTTTTTTACTTGATGTAATAATAGCTTTAAACATTGGTTTAAATGTGCATCTTTTGTTGGTTATTGGGGTTGTTAATGATCGGTGATAGAAGCTATAGAGATATAAACCGTATTTCTGAAAGCCGGCGTTATTGGTGCAACAGTTTTCCGCGTTTTTGTAAGCGCGTGTTGACCAAAAATATAAGTTCAAAGAGTATTTATGATATCAAATCGTTATTACAATTCGCTGCTGTATTTCAATATTTTTTTTAATGGAGGCTAGTCATAACCAAAATTTGGAAGTTTCAATGGGTGCATGTCTCTACCGGCGAAACTGTGTATAAATAACCAAATTTTAATAATCGTAAAATTATTGGAGTGAAAAAGCACACAACAGTATAGCTCAACAGCACTTCTAGTTTTGACATTGTTTTATACAGATTTTTTTCTGCTCATTTACTTCATACTGTTTCCTTGATCCTGAGGAGATTAGTAAAAAAAGAGCAAAGTTGTACTTTTTGAATCATTCACCTCTTCATTGTTTTATTTAAAAAGTTGCAGAGAATAGGTCGACTTGTCTTTTTGACTGATCACTATTATAAAAAATAGTCATCTTGTTCGGAAAGGGAGATTAGTTGATGACGATGATTAGTTGTTAAAAGTGGAAATTGAAAAAAGTTTTTTGAAATCTTTATTTTGAAATTTTTTTTGTGAAATGTTTCGTGGTACAGTTTTAAATAACGGCCTGTTGGTAAATCTTCTTGATTTACCAAACTGCGCCTTGGAGGTTTTTTAGCCAGAAATTTCTTTAGCTATTATGTGATTCAGTAATTCATGCTATTTTTTAAGGCACTTTAAGCAACCATTTTTGCAAAAAACTTTACGCTATTTTTTATGATGGGCCTGTTTCTAGGCTTTAGTTTTCGATTGAAATATTTAACTGAATTAAAGTTTACTCGAATAAAAAATTAGAAGTCTACTGCGCAAGACTTCAACTTTCTTTAGCCATTTCTGCGATATCATTACGAATAGCAGTTTATCAGTCTTCAAGCTTTATAAAACTGTGAAACATGTATTTCTACAAATAAAGTGATAAGAGACTTGGGAAGAGTTCTGAAAAGCTGCTTGTGCCATTATTTTTTTTCTTCCCTGCTTTGATCTTTCAGTAGTCTAGTTCACTTTATTTACTCACCTCTCAGTCTTGGGAAGAAACTTTTATGAAAGACTATTTGTACAAATTTCTATTGCTATATGAAGCTTCATTTGCGGCCATTGCTGTTGAGTGTCCAAAGTTCACAGCGCACTCTTCAGATGGAACGTTTAGGGATTGAACATGATATCATTTTAATTTTTAGTCAGCTGGAGTGTTTGAAAGTATTTATAAGGTCTCTAAAGTTTGTGCCACATTAAACATCATTTTATCAGGTTTTTTATGTTACCATAATAACCAAAATGTAATTGTGAGCTACTCTACTTCACTTCCGTGCTTCTACTTGCACCACAGGCAGCAGTGAATGTAGCTGTGGCAATGTCAAAATTTCAGCATTTTCAACCCCAGAGTTTTCAGAATTTCTCCAGTCCTTACTTCTGAAGTTTGCCCAATGAGCATACGAAGTAATGTGCAACTAAGTTAAACAAAAAATATGAAATAATTGTTTTCAGTAACTGATGTATTATCCTTTTAAGAATTACTCAACAAGTCCAGTTGTTCAACAACCAGGTTTCTCATCAGCCAACGCGAATTACGCATCAGCACCCGCACCAGGTTACTCACAAGGAGGTTTTTGTTATCCACAAGGGGCTTATTACCCGGCTTCTCAACCTCCAGTGGTCGTTTACAGGTGTGTTTGTAACAGTTTCGTTTCAACAGTGGCTCATTTGTCTCTTTTTGCATCAGTAAGGGTATTGTTAAAAACCTGAAACATGAAGACAAGGAACTGGTCCTGACACATGGACTTTCATGCGTCCCATCACTTGAAGGACTACGATTTTTTAGGGAGAGAGAGTCAGATCTTGGATGCTGTAACTGGTGTTTGGCGTCTTTAGCAGCTCTGTTCTGTGGGTGCTTAATTGGTGAGTGTACAGACAGTAACGTGCTCTGTTGCCTGTTGCCCTGTCCTCCGTTTCGCTGCCGATGGTGAGCAACCGGCTTAAGCCAACTAATTTTATAACACTGTGATATTTGTGAATAACTCTCTATAAGCTTAATCATGCAGAAGATGAAATTTTTAAATTTTCATAATTTGATATAAAAGATTTGGCTACCTGACGTACTTTTCAAGCGAGTGGGTTTTTTGACCAAGTAACCATAGATGTAAGTCTTAATTACTTTGTGCTTTTTACTTACTGTCCATGAAAGCAAAGCAGAAATCTCCTGCTGCCATCGAAAGAAACAGAACTTCAGATTATTGCTTTGGAAAAGAATACTAAGCAGAATGTCTCCATACAAGTTTTCTTTGAAAAACAAACCAGAAAGTGAGAAAAGGTGTAAAGGAAGATCTTAGGTGTTATTAGCGAAAAGCAGTTTGAGCGTGGGCAAAATAAAAATGACCGACTTCCTAACTTTGGTGCTGCAGCATCTCCATAAGGTAGACTGAACGGTTTGTAGTAAATGAAAACCCATCTTAATTTATGAACTATGAGTTCCCGTAATAACTTGAAAATTATACTAGCAGTCTTCTTGGTTAAAGTAGAGGATTTGTATCAAATGTAAAACACTAAGAGCATACCTTTAAAATTACAATAAATCAATCAAAACACTGTCATTGATTTCCTTTAAAAATAAATTAGTTTTTACCATTGTTTTTGAAACTTTATTCATTTTGAAGACGGTACTTTATTATTATTTGTTGTAAGCACATTTATTCTTGCAAAAAAAGGTGTGAAAAATTCAGGTTTTGTTGAAACCGTTCGCGTTTCAACGGGTGGCCAACTATATTCGAAAGCATTCATTGCTCTCCTAGCACTCTTCCTTACCTTCCCAATTGTCCCCTTCAACAGGCAAATAGTATCGCCTATGTCAATGGTCAGTGCAATACATCTTGGTGAATTCTCTCTGCAAACTCGTGAATATGAGTAAATATTTCAACAACCCCAACAACTATGACAGTTTAAAGGAAATTTAAATCCAAGAAAGAAATAAATTTCTAGCATGGTTTTATGAAAAACTGGAAAATACGTGCAAACATAGGCGGCTCCACGTCAATTTGCACACTTTTCCCATCTGATATTTTAGAACATTTTTCACTTTTTCAAATCACTTCCTGATTTCAAAAGCTAAGGGGACGGCGTGGAAAAGTAGATTTTTTTACTGATTGTGCTCACTAAAATCTGCAAAATTTGCCACGTTGCAACTCGACGCCTATTTTTCTGAGTTTGCAGTTCGGCTCAAATTCCATGGAATTCAGTAATTCCTGGGTTTTTTTTTGGATTTATTGGATGTTTTCCAGTTTTGAACACATGCTACAACCCGTAATTCTGTTTAATTGTTGGGTACTTAATAGAAAAATATAGTTATAGGGATAACGTGTCTTTAATCCCTTTTGAAAGTATATATTTCATGTAGAACTTTCCTCTCTGTAAAATATTAACATTTGGCGGTTTTCTTTAATTAACTCGGGAATTACAAACCAGGATGAAATGTAAGGCTGAAAATAATCTACAGCTTTTGCAAATTTTACGAATTTTACAGTGGTATAACCTTCGTCAGCTCTTTTTAGGATTACATAGAGTCAGTGCCAAAATATGGGATGTTTCAATTGTTAAAGGGTAGTTAAAAAGTTGTTAAAAAGTTGTCTTTTACGCGAAAACATTTGCGAATTATTATTGCCCATCTCAACAGTTCTAGTCTCCTCTGCTTCATACTTTTTGTGGTCATCTGAGAGAGCTTAAAAGGCGCATTAGCTCACAAAAAATAAAAGAGCGGTCACTTATGCTCGATATGATAAAAACTTTAGTAAATTTCAGGGCAACTAATACGTGGGGCACAAAGATTTTCATTTTTTTCTTTGAAAAGTCAACGAGGAAGGAGACTTCTAAGTTTTCAAAAGCGTATTCGGAATTTATTGGTCAAAGTTCAGGTTGCACGAGCAAACATCATTAGGTCAACATTCTTCTTCCAACATTATATGTCCTAGCTTTTTAAATTGGCCAGATCATACAAACTCCGGGACCTGAACTTTGCTTTTAACCGGCTAAAGCAGTGGGGAACTCGATTTCCACAAGACATCAGGATGGATGCTAACTGCGCAACTTTGACAGGAAAAAGAAGGGAGCAGAAGAGGCGAGGAATGAAGGTTGCTTGCTGCAGTTTTGCAGAACAATAGTTTTCAAATATTTTTATGTAAGAGATAGTAACTTTAACAACTTGCCAATGGCTAAAAAATACTAAATCTGTAAAAACTATGTGGTTTGCTTAAGCAAGGAAACCCAAAACCTTCTTTTTTTTGTTCAGTACACTAGTAAAGGGAGGAAAATTTATTTGTTCAAAAATTAGAAGAATAGTTGAATTTGTTAATAATTTAAAAAAAACACTTCTTATTTAGCTTTTTTTTTAGCTTGTACAATTTTTTCTTTCTGAACGGTTCTGGGTCGGTCTTGCATTCAGTGTAAAATCAATGGCCATTTTGAAGCTGTGATAACTATCTTGCTTTTCACTAGAGCTTTGCAAAAATGAATATTTTTTCTTGAAAACGGATGAATGACTTTTACGGTTTGGTTCCTAGGTAGACTCAGATTTTAAGAGGTCAAAATTTGCTGATTTTGCCACAAACATAAAAAATCTGGCGTTTCTACAGATATATTATTTACCGTCAAATGTGTTTTTTCTCGCCAGTCTGCCCCCATTTTTCCGCACAAGGCTTTGATATAGCTTTGTTCAGTTCTGCTACCTTTAAATTTCTTTAGGCGTCCTTCTCTCAATTTTAAGTGGCTAATATTAAACTGTGATTTATTATGCTGACAGTAGTTAAATACAGCCCACAGCGAGAAATTGTGTACTAAACATTACAAAATATGTTTTTGAAATAGTCTTCAAGACTGCTGGTTTTTTTAATATTTTCAGCCCAAATCACTTAGTATGAAATAAATTGATATTTTTCCTTTTTCCTTTTGCTCTTATTGGTTGCTAATTGATCTTCTGGATTGATATCTCCAGAATTTAGTCGTCTAGATGGGAAATGCTGCCACACAGGTCTTAGGTTTTGGAATCTTCATTTCGATCAGCGAACACAAATACAGCGAAAATTCCAAACTTGGGTAATTGAACCATAAAATCAAAAATCATAAAACAAAACATTTTAACAGAGGGTTATATTTAAAACATAAAATGACGCTAAAACACCATAAAGTAAATACAGTTAATCATAAAAATAAGCAGTTAGACTTGAATCACTCCTCCAGCGATCCCTTTTTCTGGCTATATAGTTATCCGGTGCTGGGCGGGGTTGACATCCGGCGTTGGTCCGACCCCGCTGGCTCTTTCTCCACAATAGGTGCCTTCGTATGATTAGCAGTTCTTTTCCCGCGGATTTGACGGGTTTGCCTTGATCTTCTCCCGTCTCCCCAGCTTGGAGAAATGCTCCCGATTGGAGAAATGCTCCCGATGCCACTTAGTGAATTTGAATAAAGTAGTTTAAGAGATTTATAAATGCAATGAGGTGTGAAGCTATGCAGTTTCTTCTGTTTGGCTCATGATAACTTCCACTTTTCATTTTCAGGTTAAACCCACTTTTTTCACCAACATCAACGATGCAGAGCTGAGATGATAGTAATTAGATATTCCTGCACCAACAAGTATATACTGCTTTAGGAATGACAACTTTTACATACAACATCTATATGTTTTATAAAAGTCAGTTTTGGTACAAGTAGTCACAGGAAGGGCAATCTCGATACGGTTATTGATTCTCATTTCACTTGCTACTACTTTGCTGTTATTCATTAAGTGCAGTCTGAGTTACTCAAAGAAGAGCAACATTTTGAACGAACATTCAGAGCAACTGGTTTGTAAACATCTATCATCCCAGTTTTGATAATCATCTCAAATACAATTACTGTTGCTATCACATCCTTGATGCCCATTCCTTAAGATCATCAAGAGCTGTTGATTATTGCAGCTTCACTGTACGATAACGGCCACTGGTTGTTCTACACTCTCAATGCTCAAATTTTGGCTCTTCTTACGAAAACGGTGTCTTAAGTTCAATTTAGTTGTG